AAAGGATATTCTTAACAGAATCCACATTTCTTTCGGAGGTAAAGCTATGAAATATCTTTCCTGTTCAAAATAATTCATTTTGGTTTTAGATGTCATTCAATGCCAAATTTTACAAACCATATGATCTATGTTACATGTAATTAGAGGCTTTTAGTATAATATGAAGATATTTGGAACAAACGCGCAAGTGATTCTTTTAACCTTAGTCTACATCCTTATAACCCTGAATATTTTTTTAATGTAAGAAGGTGATACCTGCATGCGAAAGAGGATTAGTCCGTATCATTGCCATTATACTTTTTGGTGATCCGGTGTAAAAAATTTCGGGAACTCGTATGTTCCTTAATTATGTTTCAGGAAAAGTCCCGAAAAATGGGAAAACCGAATGGCATTTATCAGTAGTGCGCTTATTCAACAGACAAAAACATTTAAAAAACTTTGTATTTACAAATGATTTTTATTTTCATATTGATTTTATACTACATCTGGACCTTCACCCTCTGATATAAAGCAAGTGTTACAGTAAAAGAGGGCGAAAATTGTAAAATGACACGAATTTTACTTTCATTGTTAACTTTTATTGCCATATTTCTTTTAGGACAACAGATATACAAATTGCGGGAAATATTGTAATATTTCATGATGTTAAAGGAAAATACCTCCCTTTGACAATGGCGGCCCTCTGATGTTATAGCAACTCGATGACTGTCCATCGAAAACCGTCAAGGTTTACTGCGCACAGGCGAAAGACAGAATTCAGATAGTTTAGGATTTTGGACACTCTTATTAAAACTTAATCTCCTCACTCACTCATTTCATATGTTTGGTCGCCGCGATTTTGATTTTTTTTACTTACGATTTTTTTCACTTACTGAGGACTTCATCCGCTATATTCACTTTGTGTGTATTATCTTGAAAACTAATATGAGGCAGATGTTTGCAATGGAAATTCTTTATTAATTTCTGTATTCTTTTCAGTAATTAGATGTACAATTTCGCAAAAATCGTATGCTTTACAACATGGCAGCCACCGTCAACAGGGTAATGCGCGAGTGCAAATGTTGTTTAAAGGTTAACGATATTGAATTCAATAGTATATTGATTTTTCCTTTTATCAGCTTGCCTTACAAATAATTCAACATCAAATGACAAATTTTGACCAATTGTTATCTCTCTGTTGTATCCCAGATCTACATAAGCACCACTATATACGATCAATAAATGATTGCAAATATTAATATCGATAGCATAGTCTCACTAGGTGAGCGATACAGGCTCCCTGTTTGTTTTCTTACTTCGACCTCGTACATATATTATAGATATACACAGACTATCAGCAATACAAATTTTTTTGCGCACAAAATTAAAGTTCTCATTCTTCAGAAACATTTTTGAGCCTCTAATTATGTACTGTATTCTGCCAACCGAATTGAATAAGTTTCGATTCTCAAATATTTTGGCTTCGAGCATTACTGAAGAGACATTTATTGTCGAAATACGCATCTGGTGCAGTAAAATTGGTCGCGTTTATGTTATTAATCCGTGTTCAAAGACGTAATGTTAGATTGAAATATAAATGTGTCTTTTTTCCATTATATACGAATGGAAAGACAGTACATGTGTATTTGATTTTACTCTTCATAGCATAAAGGTTATTCAGTGGTTGTCTTATACCGTATCTAAAAATATATTTCATTATTTTGAGAATTTTGTTTTGACGGCAGATCTTTGATAGATTCTGTTTAATTTATTCACAACAAGTTTTAGAATCGAAACTGTTAAGAGCTAACTCGAATAATTCAAGCCCTTTCCGTCTCCGATTCTCTCCGCCTCTAAGGAGTGATCGGAATATAACGACTGGATTATTCGGGTTACTTTAGAGCTTGATGTATTATATTTGCACACTGGTCTGTTGTTGAAGACTGTATGATACCATTTGTTTTTATCATTAAATTTTGGTTGCTGTCTACTTGACGTTTACCCCACATATTCTTTTAATCACACAGATTGTGCTCAACTCATAGCCAATTTGTCTTCTATTCTGTGTGTGTCCTAAATTATGATTTCAAAGAGAAATAATTAAAAAAGTTTAATCGACTTTTCTACAATGTAAACAGATAGGTGGGTGGCATCTTTTCCCTGTACAATTCTTAATTACTTTGTTCCCCAGATTTTACTTTCATTTTTTTATGCTTCAAATATTAAGTAGCCATTTTTTTGGAAACTAATGACACGTGGATTAGAATATAAATAGTGTAAAGGTTGCAATTGTTTCGCAATTTAAACTTGTACTATACTGACACATTTTAAATGTACTGTCGGTCTAATCAAGTAATGGAACAGTAAGTGACATTGATATTTCAATATGACACAAGTCTTAAACACGGATTAACGATTTCTACAGGGCAATGGATTAATTCACTTTCATCTGACGAATTCATACATCGAAAAAAGGTTTGACAGGCAACAGTAATATAAGAAACAACAGGTCCAACGGAGCCTGTATCGATCACCTCCGGGCATTTTGCATGAAACGAACACAATGCATCAAGATTATAGGTGTAGAATCGGGAATTGTGTGAGCACACATTCTGTCCTGCAGTGAGCACATATTCTGTCCTGCAGATCGTTTTTGTCTGTATTATAGTTTTGAAGATAATACGCAAGCATTTGAAAAACAATCTGAGATGTAGGACCAACAACACATGTAAGTGGTCAATTGGCGACTATATGAGGGTCTGGATTGGGGTCCTTTATTTCTGTATTCTTTATTTTTTGGGGGCCATTTTTCTCTATTTATACGTTTTGCCATTATTCTCTTTTCTTTATATTTCAGCACCTCATTATTCTCTATTCTTTATTTTTTTGTCCATTTTCTCTATTCTTTAAGTTTTTTGCCCATTATTCTCTATTCTGTAAACCCCCGCCCACACCCTCTTATACCATTTTGACCTATTTGTAGATCATGATCTTATTTTGTTTAACATTTTGGTTGTTAACAATTTCGCTCTATCTTTATAGTTATTACCAAAAAACTCATAAATGGGGAAAAAGTCGTTATGCAAGGGCTATACAAATCCTATAAGGAGTCGACTGCCGATTTCGGTCAAGTCGACTTATTTGTAGATGATATTTCGCTATTCTTTTTTATGATAACAGTTCAATTCGATATACCAAGGGCAATAATTTCATTCAGAAGTCGACTGAAGATTTCGGCCATGTTGACTTATTTGTAGAAATTGTCTTTCTGATCTACTTTGCCGTTTAAAATTTCTCTCCATCTGTTATAGTTTCAATATTATAGTTCAAATGCAAAATATGGGTAAAATAGCCATTGAGGGCAATAATTATTGTTGGCCATGTTGACTTATTTGTAGATTGTTATTTTTTGCTGATCATTTTTGCTACCTAAAGTTCTCTCTATATATCTACTAATGTTCAAAATAATAGCAAATAACGCTAAAAATGGTAACAAATGTCATGTAAGAGCTAAGACTCTTAAATGGGATCGACAGACGATTCCGGTCATTTGATTTTTCTGTAGATCATTTTTTTTTTGCTTATCATTTTTGCTGTTTACAGTTTCTCTTTTCACAAAAAATGCCAAACTAAAAAAACCGAATGAAAATAGTCTTTGAAGGGTAATAACTCATATAAAGCAGTCGACTGACGATTACGACTATATTCACTAATTTGTATATCTTATTTTGCGTATTACTTCTGCTATTTACAGTTTCTCTCGATCTACTAAAGTTTCATAAAATATACAAATGTCATTGAAGGGCAATAACTCCTACTAGCAGTCGAGGCGATATCGGCCATGGTGATTTATTTGTAGATCTTATTTGGTTGATCGTTTTAGCTGTTTTCAATTTAATCTATCTACACTATAGTTTTTTTTTGGCTAATCCTTTTTGCTATATGCTTTTGTTAAAAAGGGCAATAACTGCTATAAGGAACAAATGAACGTTTCGTATGCTTTCAAAATCAATACGACACGAATATAATGGCAAAAAAAATTTGTCTGTAAAATAGACATACAATTTTGTATAAATTAAAAACGCGTAAGGTAAATTTAATGAATATTTTCATTATCATTATTATGGTACAGTTGAATTATAATAATCAATAAGCTTTCTCGTTTTTTTTGTTTTTTTTGTTGGCAGCCGAAATTTTGTGTACAAAAATATTCTTGTCTATGCATATTGAAAGCATATATTTACGTTCGCAAATTTCTTAATTTTATAATTATTTACAAGAATATTCAGGATGCATTGAATAAACCGATTAAGGTTGTACATATATGTCACTTATGAACAGGTGCTCACTGGATTGATTGATATTTTGTTGGTGTTTAACGCCACTTCCAGAAAATATGGCTATATCGTGGTGGCCAGTTGTTATTGGCGAAGGAAGAAGGGGTTCCAGGAGAGAACCACCAACCTTCGACAGGAGAACTGGAAATTCTAATTAATTAAGATAGCAGTCGAAAGAACTTGCCAAAAGTGGGATTTAAACTAACAATCTAAGTGTTGACAGGCGAGTGATTTCTATAGACTTTCTATTTAGACCACTTGCCCACCGAGGTCCAAGGTGCTCACTGGATGGGCATTATATTTATCTGTAAATTAATCCACGGTGCATCCATTATATAGATTTTTTTCATATTTCCTTAAACTTTCCCTTTCAAAATATAAATAATATGACGAAATCCTCGATTAATATGACGACTGTAATTACGTATTACGTTTAGATTAAAAATTACCCACTAACAAAGACTGTGTTTGATGATAAGGCAACAACGCATTGACACTTAGAACAAACTCTTCCCTAACATACATATATATCATAAATTGGAAAATTTACTTTTTAAAATTACTACTTGAAAAAATTATTTAGTGTTTAGTAACAGAGAAAAGGTATGCAATACAGATACTACCTATGATAAAGTGATTGCAGAAGAAGTTCTATAATGCATGGGATTGCCATGGCAACAAACTTTAAGTTTAGATGCTTCGAGTTGTTTCATTGCACACACAGGGGTTGCGTAGGATAGTAAATAACTTGTATTATTTGTGACATTCATTACGAATAAAACAAAGGAATTTTCTTCCTTCTGCTGTGATAGACACTACTTCTAGAGAACTACATGTTATAGTCTTGCCAAGAAAAAATAGTTCTTTCTCTCTGTAGCGTAGCTTGGAACAATTCTGATTCTGCTGAGTTGCTGTTTCGCTAGTTAAAGTAAGATTTTTTAACTTTTTTTCCTAGTAATGTTTCTGTATACTAATTGCGTGTGGTCACTATAATTATTGAGACTTGAATGACATTTATTTTGTTTCACCCTACATTTTTTACAGAGAATTTCAAATTATATCTTTTTCATTAAGGGTATAACCCGAAGGTTCACGATTGAGCTCGTTTTAATTTACACTTGTTAGCAATATGACTTTATAAATCACAAAATATTTTCTCCTAAAATTTTGAACGAAAACTGCAGTTTTACGCATTAAAATGCATGTTATCCGTTAAGCTTATGTTTTCAATCAAAACCTTATTTCTTGTTTGATAAATATCAGTTTTTATTTATCAATAAACGATTGAAAATTTTGGCAGGAATCGAATATATTATGCATACCATGTAAAGAATCAATACTTAATGCAAACGTAGGAGTATGCTCGCGATTCTGTTTGAAGGGCAGGTTTACGGGGCAAAGTGACCTAAGCACTGTACATAAATCAATAAATGTTGATTTATATAATTAAAAGTTAAACTCGTTCATAAAGCTATGTCTTTCTAAACGAACAATATAGCTGGACTGTTCCATATCATATCATTCTAGAGTGTATGTACTAAATTATGCCTAATTTGATAAATTGATTGATTGATTGTTAGTGTTTAACGACACATTCATCACTCTTGGCTATATCGTGGCGGCCAGTTTTGATTGGTGGAGGAAGTCGAAATGCACGGAGAGAACCATTGACATAGTTAGGAAAACTTGCCCATCCTAAGTCAATAAAAATCGGAGTTGAACGCACCTGACACGAGCAGGGTTCGAACTCACCACCTCAGTGTTGACACACTTAATAAACAATCAATTTTAATATTTGTTAGGAAGAAGTAAAAAGTAAAGCTACTATTCATTTTCGATTTTCGATGAATCCAAACAAACGCTAAGATAAACTTATATGACCACTCTACCACCGAGGCCCCAAGTGTAATGAAGATATGTTCCCTATAAAATATTTACAAAAAAGTTATTACACATAAACTTTGCATGTGGACATGTTGGCTGCACTTTGGTCGGGTTGTTGTCTCTTTGACACATTCCCCGAATCCATTATCTATTCTATATTAGATTGAATTGATGAAACTAAGAAAAAAAAAACTCCTCAAAGTTACCAGGCTGGTAATTTTTAATGCCAGACGCGTGTTTTGTCTACAAATGACCCACCAGTAACGTCCGAATCAAGAAAGATAAAAGGCAAAATAAAGTACGAAGTTAAAATTATTAGGGACCAAAAATTTCGAAAAATTTTGTCAAGATACCAAGGGTGCAATCATTATCTGAAGTCAATGACCTTTTCTCTTTCCTAAAATATTAAATTAATCTATATATAGACGGATAACTGTTAATTAAGCCTGGGATCCTGACTGACGCGAAGATTAGGTTCGCGGCCAGGATTGATCTCTTTTTGTATACATTGATATACATTGATATGAGTAATTGTTTTCAGTTCCCTTGGAATTCGGTTTAAATTTCACACTTTACTATTATATTGGTAAAACACGCACAACTCTGGGTTTCGGTATTTACAGAAAGTAGGAGTTCCCTTTGAAATACCTTCAAGTCAATCCTATCATAACTTTACTTGATTCTATTATTAATTTGCTTTTCAAAAATTTTCAACCATTTCTATTTCGCACGTGTCTGAAAAAACACAAAAGTGTGATTGTTAATTAACTGTTTAATTACATTTTCATATTGTTTAGTATTCCAACGATAACATCTTGATATATTTATAAACAGAAGTAAAGGTCGATGAGGTAAAGTTAATACTAAATTTCCTGAAATGCATGTTTGTATTTTATGGCCGCAGACTACCGTTAAGAGCGCGTGCCAAGCTTACGCCTCGTGCTCTACATACTTAGGTGATTGACTAATAGAATCTTCTAGTTTATTTTGATAAGTAATATGGTATCATGTCTGCTGATGCATTACAATGTTTTCGGACAACATAAAGTACTTAATCAAAAGATACAAAAATAATCATTGTAGACAAGAATACTCGCGGTTGTGTAAGCATACAATGCTAATATTTGTAAGGAACGAGAAAATAGAGAGTTACACGCGTAACTAAAGACATGCAGGCGTTTTTCTTTTAAAATACAAATTGTCTTGGTAGAGCTCCGAATCCATTAGAAACTTAATTTAAAAGAATAAATAAAACAATTCTTTATGAATGACCATTCCTTTGTACATGTAACAAGTTACTAAACAAAAAGGAGCAATGTTCCAAAACGTGTAGCTTGCTGTTATATATGAAAACGAATAACTCTAAGAATTAAATTTCTTCACCCCTCCCCTTTTATAAATACTTTTCAAATACTATGCACACTATATTTCCGCCAAATTGTTATCAGTATGCATTTCTTCTAAGATATCTTTATTAAAAGTATAATAGGTTTATAAGATTTCCGCTTTTATCTCGTTCATAATTTTAAGTTTTTTTCTCCAAAGTGTTTAACATGTTCCTATCACTTAAACGCTCCTAAAATGTTTAGAAAATCATAAATGAAAATAAACAACAACAAAAACCAAAATAAAAATAAAAATAAAACACACACACACATAAATCGAATATTCCTTTAAGATAATATAGTGAAATGCTATGTATACATTTCCTCTGTCATTATGTAATCTAATTTCATGGCTAATTAAAATGATCCGAAGCAGCTACAAGTAGATTGAGATACATAGAAATAATTGTTTACTATCCTGGTTTCTATCTTATTTGATTTATACAATTAAATATCATGTCAACTTCTAAGAGGAAGATCCCCCATATATCACGAGGGGCAACCGGCATAATGTATAAATGATAGTCAATTTCTATATGCATGTCACATTCCGAAGAAGTAGTCGGAGGGTAAACAAGCAGTGCACATTAATAGGTATGTCTTGTGTGGTCTTGTGTGAGTTAATTTATCTCATTTTGGTTTCATCGATACTTAAACTATATGTAAGGTTAAATGGACAAAACAAAAAATAAAAATAAAAAAATAAAATAAATAAGAGGTTGACTTTGTTGTTTACGGAATTTAATAGTTACATGTATTTACTGTCTATGAAACGAGCACTATAGTGATGCCAATAAAGCTGTTTTGATTTCGATGGAAGCAAAAAAGCAACTTAAGATATATATTCATTTTATTTCTAAGCAAACACATTATGATAACCAAAGACATATCATTTTTTGCATCAGTAAAATTCGACCATGCTATTTTAATTCAAAATTATTCTAAATGTGCATAAGGATTTTTTTTTTTGAAGCAGTGTCTAAAATATGTTACTCAAGTTTTATAAATTACTAAAGTGGAGGATAAAGAAACGTGTCGATACTTGCAATGGCGATATCTTTTCGTTCCCACATTGTTTCTTGCAACCAAACTTCCACATCTTAGCGGATTTCACTTTCTGAAATAACTTGAATGCATTATGTTTTCTAAAAAAAATCTGTCGAGTTATTTTGGGGTTTCCTAACTCACATTTCGCATTTTATACACATCTTCTTTAAAACCACAGAGTAGATTTCATTGAAATAATTCGCAGAATGCATTTTTTTGCATCACACACTCTTTGCATTTTCAAAGGCAGTGAATATTTGTTGGTTCATTCAAGTGGATGTGTCAGACCATTTATTCATTAACAAACATAAGAGTTAAAAATAACTGATTGCGCTGTCTTCATATACTGCCTGAAAATATGTGCATCATTCTATAAAATAACGAAGGATGAACACGAACAACGTTAAAATGGTAATCTTTATTTTCCAAAACGAAGTTAATTTCCCTTTCCTGAAAAATTATACACCTACGTCATTTGCGTGTTTTAATCTCATTATATTTTTCATTTGCTACTCCATGGTATTTATCATTATTTTTAATATCATTGCCTACTTTTCCCTATTGCCTATACTGTATTTTTCAGTATTTTCTGCTGTTTCCACAGGTGGTTTCGAAATTTTGTTTAAGGGTTTCTGGGGGATTACACCTGTAAAAGATGGGACCTAGCCTAGCTTTAGTCGATTTATACAGCATTTTGAAAACGATAAAAAGAGGGATAACCCCAGGTGTTAGTGTTCTCGATCTCACACTTCTCACGTTTCCGACTCTTCGTTTGATTTTTAAAAAATACTTTGAATTCCCTCTTACCTAAGAGAATCTTACGTCAAGATTTCAAGTGATGATTCTGTTATTTTTGACCGCATAGTTTAGATGTTCGAATGTTATGCAATATATCTCCCATTATATTTTCGGTAAGAGTCAACATCAATCATTCGTTCATTAAGGTTTATACGACAGGAATTCCAGAAATACATATAATTTCTGTAAATAATTAGCTAGTTAGACTTTTTATTCGTTATTTAAACATTTGATTTCAATTAACAGACGAGGAAATTAGCGTCACTATGTATTAGCGGTGAATCTAAATTATACTGATCAATCTTGATCATATTAATCTTGTTAAGTGGTCAGTTAATTACTCTTGACCAGTGAAGTAGATAATATGTTTGGACTGGAATGTATCTCTATAATGGTACGCATCTTTATTATATGCAGACACACGTCACTCTTAGACGCCGTATCTATTTTTGACAATTTTCTTGCGGTGTTCTTGTCTCGTACTGACCCAATGACCTTATCTAAATCTTTACAAGCTTTTTTTCCTCTGAACATTGAGGTTAGGAGCATTTTCCTTTTTCTCTTTTCAACTAAAATGATTTGAAGGTTAGTTTATAAAACACAAGGTACTAAATAATTACAATTAAAACTCATTAAATTCCTGAACTTCAAAAAGTCGTGACGAAAGCAAACATATTCTTTCCAGTAACTTTGCCAAAAAAGTACATTTAGCTTCGGATGACCATATTAGAGGTCATACCATAACAGTGCAAATGAACACCGACTTACTGTTTGGGTTTTACGCATTTAAAAAAAATCAATCAATCCATTTAGT